CTTCCATCGTTGAGGAGGAGAAGCAGCAGGAAGCAGCTCTGATCCGCAGCAGAGAGAAACCTCTGGCTCTCATTCAGGTAGATTCTCACATCCTGTTGGAAACTCGACCTTTGTGATAAGAGCAGCTGCTGCTGTCTGGTCCATGTTGGTGTAGTAACAGGACAGGGCTGTTAGAAACAAGGTCCTTCTGCTCTTCTGGCAGCTCTCTTTGCTCCATCTTAGCTGTTGTAACACTGCTGCTACACTTTCACCAAACATCCCACCTCCAGGGGCTTTCTGGGGTCGGTTGTTATCCAGTNCTCCTCCAGGTAGACAGCAGTGGATGGTGTTACCTTCTGCACAGAGAAGCTTCTGATGTTGTCTTCATATATTGTCATTGCATCATAACACAAATGATTTAAACTACATTATTATTTTAAATTATAATGGTAAAGATTCATAACATCATGGTAGTCACAGTCACTTCAGTTGTAAAGATGTTTGAAGCACGTTGGTTTCATGTGATGTGAGCAGAGGACAGCAGGTTTCAAACCTTCAGTTTCAAATGTGACAGGTTTCCTACAAACAGAACATGGGATCAGTCATCTTCACAAACAGGATTTAATAAGTTAGGTTTGGGTTTGGTCAAAGTCCAGTCATGTGCAGTTATTCATCAGAAGAAGTTTCCACCAACATTTGGTTAAATATGATTAATTTACCTGGTCAGTCCTCTGAAGCTCCTCTTCTAATTTAAATACTTTGTTGTTGAGTTCCACCGTCTGTCTCAGACCGTTTTTCCTCCATCTTTGTCTTTGAGCTTCTCATCTTTCTGTGAAAAGTTCTGACTGCGGCTCAGTCCATCTGTTCAACAGTGTTTAAATGTTGTCTCATTGTTTTGACTCAAAGACTAAAACTGATGAAACTAAACACACTAAACAACACCCTAGCTATAAAATTCAAACACTAAATAAAATCTGATAAATCTCAGATCTCATTACTCAGGTCCACTCCTGCTGTTTTTATCACAGCCAAACTTCATTCAACTTTTGCATCTTTTTATTTTCTTCTTCCTGTATATTTTTGTCCATTTGTCAAATGATTTCAGTGACAGAGGATTTGAGAGTTGTGTGTTAGTTCAGTCTTTGGTTGTCTGTCTGTGTGTTAGTGAAGATGAAATTTTGTCTGTCACACTGTCTCATGTGCATCGTAGCTCCTGAACAGAGCTACTGAGTTCAGTACAAACTAACACCATAACTAACAACTAACACCTAACTAACTAACACTCAAACTAACACCTAACTAACAACTGTTCTCGGCCCAGCGGAGGTCTGAAGTCAAAGCTGAAGCTCAGGTAAAGTCATCTTTGTTGCTTGTATCCTCTTATTTTGGATGTACAAATAAAGTGGTTGGTCACTGAAATGAACAATATGATAAATATCAAACAGTAAGTCCTGTTTAGACATTGTTGATATAGTTACAAACAGAATATTTAAGTTAAAAATGCAGGTAAAAGACTAACTTCATGCTCAGTGCTTTAAATGCAGATGAGTCTAGAGGAGGTGGAGGTGTACAGGAGATGCTTTGGTGTCGAGTTCTACTTTGTTTCAAAAAGTGCTGTAAATAATTGATCATAACTTTGATTTTACTTGGCCTATCAACACAATTAAAATCTACTTATAGCTTCAAGTCTGTATTTTCAAACAAATGGAAACACACAGTAGAATGGTTTAAACTGGTGGTGTGACTGGGGTCCAGGCATTCCTAACCCCTAACCCTACCAACATGTTGTCGTCTTTCCAGTGAAACATTGGTGTGTATCATGACAAGTTTCTGTCAGACATGTTAACACAGAAGCACAAAGGTGTGCTGTTAGTTATATTTCTGTTATCTTAGTGGGTCAGACTCTAAAATATCCACTCAGATCTGCTTTTATTAAATATTTGATGAGTCCCATTGCTTCTGCCACATGTTTGGTTTCCCCCTCACCATTCCTTTATTTAGAGTCTAGTTTGTGCTGCTTCCCTCTGCACAGCCTCTGGTGTCTGCTGGTTCTGCTCTCAGCAGAGTGAGTGGGGAGGAAGAACAAAGATGGTTTCTACCTCAAGTACAAACTGCTTCAGAAGAGTTCAGCCAAACAAAACTAGAGTTTGAACTTGTTTACACAGATTTGTAACTGTTTTAGTGATGGCATTTAGGAAAATCCTGTGATTTCTGAATACTTCCATAAATCATGTGGTACAGTATACTGTACTACATGTAGTAATATATGGCTCCTGTGGTTAGGCATTTGCTGACAGTATATCTTTTTTTTAACCTCAGGACACACATTTATGAAATACATAGTCCTACTCCAACATATTTGATTTTTATTTATTACTTTGTGCTTTTGTTGTTTCTGCAGATTGAGGAGCGAGCCATCCAGGACCTTCTGGTCCACTACCAGGCGCAGGACAACCCCGATGAACTGATAGTGGTGGAGACGACACCTACAGGTCCAATGGCAGCTCCCACCTGGCACAAACACTAAAGACTGATCAGGTGCAGCAGCTGCATGCCGTTACAATCCTGTTGCTCTCAGTGATAAGTGGAGGATCGCTGAGGTTCTGATCAGAAGTCCAACTCACTCAGTGCATGTAAAAATGGGTCAGAAGTTCATCTGGGCTCCTTTTCTCTCTGAAGTGTTGCTTTCATCTTAATATATTGCTGCTCAGTGTTTTTGTTCARAAGTGAAAGAATGATAGCTTTTTATTTGAGTGTGGTTCTTCATGAAGCTTTGGGTCTGCAGGGAACTCCTGCATCCCTCAACAACAACAACAACAACAACAACAACAACAACATTTACAACCACTAAACAGCTTTCCTCAGTACGTCTCATTTACTATGTGAAATCGCCAAAGAACTAAATTAAGTCACAAAAGTTCAAACTAATTCACAAACGTGTCTAATTAATGAGAGCTATGTGAGATGAACAGTGCCAATAAGTCACTGAGTTGTGTTACATTTTCTTTACATAGTTTGTCCACTTGCAGGTTTCTGTGCAGTAATGGCAGTTGTGATTGCTGGTGACAACTTATATAATTGGGTCTGTGTTTTTGTGTTGTTTTGCTTTTGTTCTGAAATCAAGATACATTCATGTGCCACTGATGATTTTCTTTGTGTGTATTCTTTCATCAGTTACTCTTGTTGTTTTCCTGAAGCCAGCAAACACTTGGTACCTTTAAATTTGGACCACCTCTTTGGAAAACATTTTTGTGTTTGGTTTTTTCTGTGCGTATAAGACCTAAGGATGTGAAATGAAATTGGCTTTCAACAATTAAAACCCTTTCCTTGTGCATCATGTGCTGCCTTTGTGTGATTTCCAACAGATTTGAATAGTTTGAATGAAAGAAAAATTTTTTATTCAATAGATTTATGTACAATACAGATAATTCACAATTCTTTTACAGCTTGTTCCTTTTCGTATCAAATAACATTTGTTCCACTTTATCTTTGCACACCGTCTACCCTGAATGATAAAAGAACCATTATCCAGTCTTGAGCTGTGATTAACTTTGACGACCCTGATCTCAACACAGAGTGCAGACTGAGCAGTTTTATTGGCTGTAATTAAAGGTTGAGCATCACATCAGAAGTCAAGAGAGACGAGTCGTGGGGAAAATGGTAATGACAGATTAGGATCCATTAGCCAGCGTGGAGATGACACATTAATGGACAGTCTTTCTTTTGACACCACGCTAATGCAACGTGGAATTTCACAAAACTGCTCATTCTGTCTGCCCTGAATGGAAATGTAGGCTGAGTTCAGACACAGGTTTCACACTGAGACTCTGGCCTGATACAAAAAGCAGATTTATAGAAAATGCACAGGATTTTCAGTCTTTACACTTTTGTTTTATGTAGTTGTAAAGTAGAAAACCCCAGAGTCCTATCAGATGAGGTTAATTAACCTCTTGAGCCCCACGCCCCCAGTACTGGGGGCGAACAGCATTTAATTTTTTTATTTCTTTGACAGATCTTAAGTTAAAAGAAATGGAAAATGGAAAATGCTGTTTTGCCCCAAAACCTGGGGCAAGAGGTTAATATCAACACCATCTTGTGTTAGAATAAAAATGTTTATGTCAGGTTCTGGAAATAGAATAGAATAGAAACAGCCTTTATTGTCCTGCAGCGGGGAAATTTAGGTGTAACAGCAGCAGCAGATACATCAATCCACAAAACAATATATTGTTATGCAACATTTTCAATAGTATTGATAATAAAAAAATTAAAATAACATGAAAATCAGAATAAGATATTTTGCAAAAAATAAATTACAAGAAAACAGTCGTGATAGACTCGTGCAGTGTTCCAGTACTGGAAAACAGATGTACATTTGCCACAGAGTGTTATTTGTGTAATGACAGAAACAGTTGGTTATTGTGCAAACACAGCATGGATGCTTGTGATTGTTGTGAGCAGTGATGGTTGTTGAGTGTGACAGCTGATGGGAGGAAGGATCAGTGATAACGCTCCTTTGTGCACCTGGGATGCAGCAGTCTGCCTGAAGGAGCTCTGCAGTTCAGTCACAGCTTCATGGAGTGTGAGATGTTGTTCTTCAATGATGTTATTTTAGTCAGAGTTCTTCTGTCTCCCACCACCTGCACTATGTGGAGGGGGCATCCCAGCACAGAGCTGGACTTCCTGATGAGCTTATCTAACCTCTCAGCTGGGGTTAGCTGCTGCTCCAGCTAACCACCCTGTAGAAGATGGCTGATGCCACCACAGAGTCATAAAACGTCTTCAGGAGTGTCCCCTGCACTCCTGAAGACCTCAGCCTCCTCAYCAGGTAGAGCCTGCTCTGACCCTTCCTGTAAAGAGTCCGTGTTGTGAGTCCAGTCCAGTTTATTGTTCAGGTGAACACCCAGGTACTTAGAGTCCACTATCTCTATGTCCACTCCCTGGATGTTCACCGGTGTCAGTGGGATGGGTCTGTGTCTGTGGAAATCCACCACCAACTCCTTGGTTTTAGCAGTGTTGATCAGGAGGTGGTTCTGTTGGCACCAGTCCACAAAGTCCTGAGTCCACTGTCTGTCCTCTGAGTCCACTACCTGTCCTCTGAGTCCACTACCTGTCCTCCAAGTCCACCGTCTGTCCTCCGAGTCCACAGTCTGTCCTCCGAGTCCACAGTCTGTCCTCCGAGTCCACCGTCTGTCCTCCGAGTCCACAGTCTGTCCTCCGAGTCCACTACCTGTCCTGCGAGTCCACTACCTGTCCTCCGAGTCCACTACCTGTCCTCCGAGTCCACTACCTGTCCTCCGAGTCCACTACCTGTCCTCCGAGTCCACCGTCTGTCCTCCGAGTCCACAGTCTGTCCTCCGAGTCCACCTTCTGTCCTCCAAGTCCACCGTCTGTCCTCCGAGTCCACCGTCTGTCCTCCGAGTCCACCGTCTGTCCTCCGAGTCCACCTTCTGTCCTCCGAGTCCACCGTCTGTCCTCCGAGTCCACCGTCTGTCCTCCGAGTCCACCGTCTGTCCTCCGAGTCCACCGTCTGTCCTCCGAGTCCACCGTCTGTCCTCCGAGTCCACCGTCTGTCCTCCGAGTCCACCGTCTG